CATTAGAAAACTGCCATACGGCATCTACAACCAGTCCTTATCCAAAAGGATAAGAGTTACAATCAAAGAAAAGAACAAACTGGAGAAGTAAAGCAGAGTAGGCCCGGTGCGTGGGAGGAAAGGAGGTGAAAAAAATCACTCGAGCAACCTGAGGTCGACCGATCCAGCCATGGGACACCCTTCAAACTACTCCGGAGAGGATGGCGCAAGATCTCCAAGACGCCGCGGCAGAGATCCAGTCCGGCGGTGGCCAGAACTGGAGAAACAGCGAGCAATGAGGTGTGGTATTTGAAATAGATACGTTAAAGTTAATAAACGAAGCCTAAACAATATTTGCGTAAAATAAAGTCCACCTATCATGTGAAAACGCAGCGTTTTCAGTTAAGAGTACTTGGCTCCTGTGAAAATGAATTTTAGCGACCCCGCCTTCCTTTCTTCCAAATTCCAAAGTCTCCCTGATTTTCCCACTCCCCAGCACAGGTAAGATTTCAAACCAGATCAGCTTACTAATACTACCATTTGCATCTTTTATTCTAAAAGTTTTTGGTGTGTTTTGATCTTCCTCAGCAAGAAAATGGATCCCAATTCAGTTCAATCCACTTTGTCGAATTTAGCATTTGGGAATGTAATGGCAGCAGCTGCTCGTGGTTACAAAAAGATCTCATCTTTTTTCACTTTTTCTCCTCTTTACTTAATTATTTAGACAAGGCTGTGCTTTCTCTGTCCAAAACTGTAACTGGGTTTATGATAAACTATGTCTATCACATGCAATCTTGGGCAGGAATACTGTAGAAGATATGTTCTAGTTTATTTTTGCTGACAGCTACTGAAATGAATGGATGGAACTGAATGATGTTCATGAGTTCTTTTATGTTTAGTTGTTTCACAGTTTTTTTTCCTTTTATTGGTCAGAATTGTTTTACAGTTTTGCATTTCTGTTTTGGGTTGAAGAAATGGGTTTGTGACTTTGTGGTGTTATTTAGACACTGTAGATAATGATTGGGTAAGAATTTTGAAAATGTTATGGCCTGGATCGAGTAAAAATGTTTAAGATTGTAGTGTGTAATTGTTTGAGTTGGTTATCAACTAGGCACCGGGTTGTTATAACTAGTAGCTTGCAGCTAATGTATTCTGATAATGATCTTCCAGGAACTTCTTGCCCAAGAGAAGACACAGGCATCAAGTTCAAACAATGGTGAGGTTGACCTTGACGAGCTTATGGATGTGAGTGTGTTAAAATGTTTTAAGTTGCTGAATTAATTGTTCCAAAAGCATTGATACTCCTTTTACCATTACTCTGCCATGATATCTTTTTGTGTGGATTCATGTTTTCTCTACCAACAGGATCCTGAGTTGGAAAAATTGCATGCTGACAGGATTGCTGCTCGAAAGGTTAAAAATTCAGTATCTCATGTGCCATTATTTGATATACTGCTTAGATCTGGATAGGCTTTCTGAAATTTGTAATCACACTAGGATTTATTTGAGTAGAAAGAAGCAGAGAAGCGAGAAGCCTTAAAAAGGCAAGGACACGGAGAGTACAAGGAGGTAAGTGTAATACCTGTATTTATTTAATTATTTTATTTTATTTTATAACTTTTAAATAATTTTATTTAAGCCTTAAAGGATTTAAATGTAAGGAGAGGGAATTAAGGGGTTTAACTATAAAGGAATCAACAGTGAAAGGACTAACCAAAGAATTATAACATTTTTTGTACCAAACCCTAAATAGGAAACGGGCTAGGTGTTGGCAGAGCTTCTGTAATGCTGCCGCCCAATTCTGAAAGTGCCGCCGGCCACTTTTGGAAGCAAATAGAAAGGGGCTCTGTCCTGTAGTTGCCGGATTAGTTGAATTGAGGAAATTTTATGGTAAGTTTCCTAATTATGTGCTAGTTTTGTTCGTAGATCTAATTTTATAATTAAGAATGTGAATTGGAAGAGGAATTGAGAGAATTTTTGGGACTCTATTTCCTGTCAGATTCGATTTTAGCAAAATGGCCTGTGATTTGTAGGCCTTTCCAATTCTAACTAAGAAGATAGTACAAAAGTTTTAAATAATTCAAGAGGCTGTGTCGAGTAAAAAATTGATTAATTATTCGAGGTAAGTTGTTATACCATCTAGTATTCTTTTAAAAGGTTTGTTTTATTAAAATTTATTTTACCTTTTTAGCTTATTTTATATAATATTATTTGGTTACTGTGTTTTAAAAATAAAAATATTTTATAATGAAATGAGATGAATGTTGATCAAGTATTTTGAGGTGGACTGTTTTCTATCAAAGGGTGTGGTTTATTAAATTGGAAATAATTTTTCTTTTAATATTAGTTTTTTATGTTCTTGGTTGGCTGGTTAAATGAACCTGTTCCTCAAAGGTATACTGAGGGTATTGATAGTAGTTTTGGGATGTATTTATCATGGAGTGTGATGTGGAGTGTGATGTTATATTTGGAGTGTGATACAGCCTAAAGAACTTGTAATTGTTGTTTTCTTGTCATCTAGTTTAGAATGTGGTTTTCTTATTGTAAAGTTGTTTACTTTATTTAATTATTATTTTCATTGAAATATAATGCTTGATCGAACTAGATGGGTATACTTTTACTGAGTTGTCTAGTTTATGCTTTTAAAATCTCATCTCATTTTAGGTACAGAAGAGTGAGCATTTGGGGTTGCATTTGGGAGTGAGAGGCGCAACGGTTCTAGAGTAGTTCTTTGGTTTAGTTTAAGTTATTTCTGAATTGTGGAATAATTAGAAATGAAGACCTATTTGCTATGACTTATTGCTATTAAATTTTATGTTGGATTTTATGAAGTGAGGATCAAGTGTTTTGGATTTGACCAACTATTCGTACATGTTAATAAAGATGGAGGTTCTTATAGAATTTAACTTTATTGCATTTGAATATTAAAAATTGTTTAGTTGAGGTAGCCTTACATATTTTTGGGGTAATCTCCATAGATGTGTGGCGTTTGTCACGTCTTGACCTTGGGGTTGGGGCATGATAGTAAGTGAAGGAGATTTCTTGGGTGAGGTCACTGGGAGTGAGAAGGTGGTTTGTCACTTTTACCCTAAGGAGTTCTATAGATGCAAGTAAAGCTTCTCTCTCTTTCACATGCATACACACCCCTTTACATACCATGTGCATTTATGTGCATCACTGCATCTTAGTCCATATGTTGCAAAACTTACATGGTATTATTGATGGGTAATCTAGAATAAGCATTTGAAAGCCCTTGCACCAAAGCATATGGATGCGAAGTTCATCAAGCTGGATGCTAAGGTGAGCATTAATGAGTTTGTTGTTTCTAGAATTCAGTATAGATTTCTCACATTTTACTTTGGTTGTTGTGACTAGTGATTCTATTATAAGCTTTAGATTTTGGTTTTATCGGGTGAATGCATAAATCTAGTGATTCTAATTATCCTAAATTACCTGCAATTTAAAATAAATTTGCTCGAAAAAGCTGTACCCAAATTAAACTAAACATGTTCATTGTTAAATTAAAATGTTATGTACTGGCAGATCTGGAAATTAAAATGCTGCAGAATTAAAGACTTCATCGTAATTAACATTAAAATTAACGTGAACAGTAATTAAACTATCATGCTTGAGGTTGAAAAGAGGTATCAACACCACATAAGTAATTATTGAATAAAATGCTACTTATCATAAACATTAAATTAATTGCAAATGGAAAGAGAACAATACCTTGCATAAACTTGAAAGATTAAAGTTCATTGCATGAAAGGAAATTGTTGAACTGAATACATGAATTAATTTGCCTAATGGAATGTTGAAAAATAACCTAATTTTATTGGAATCTGTGCTGAAATTCAAAATCTAGAAGCATGTGCAGAGAAAATGAAAGTATGAAAATTTGTGGATGTTTGAGTAGGGCTGGCTGTCTGTTTTTCCTTCCAAAATTTCCTTTTTGTTCTCCTTGTGCCGGCAGTAACTTCCATTTTCTGCAATTACTCAATCATGGATGGTTTCTTGAAGTAGTGGGACACCTCACCTTTTGACCTAGCCTAATCCCCTTGCAAATTTCGCCATCTGTACTCTTATCAGATAAAACCCCCTTTTTAACTGCGATCTTCTCCTATTTTCCAGCTCCCATTATCTCTTTCTGTATCAAGAAGATAATTACTCCATAAAAAATTATCTTTACCTCTCCTATTTTGCCAACACAAGTGCTGATCTGTCATGGGGCCCAGAATCTGAATCTGACATGGCTTAAACTCCTCCAACCAATAAAAAATATTTTACACGTGGCATTAATTTAAAATTTTGCAATTTATGGTGTAAACAAAAACCTTAAGTGAAAATGAACATGAAATGAATATAGACTTAAGGATTAAGCTTGAGAAATGAAATGCATAAACTGTGTTATGATATATAAAAAAATCATAGTATCATACATATTGTTTTTAGGAAAAAAAACCCAAATCTTATACACAACAGTTGCTAAAAACGAAGAACTTACGAATTGTCGACATAAACTGCTACACCATTAAGCAAAATAAACTAACTGCAACTGCCACCACACAAGAACTAACATAACTAGTGTTTCCCAAAAAATCCTCTAGTGGCCTCGCACGTGTGAAATCTGGATGCGGACGTGCCACTTACTTTGCTGAAAGTAAGAAAGGAGGACTTTCCCAACAACCCTCTCCTTCCTCACGGTCGACCTCCTTGTGGGTAGTGAGAAGAACGTTGGATTAAAATTGAAATTGCGCCTTCAGACGATTTGCAAGGAAGGATACCTTCTTGCAGATTGGGTTACGAAATCTGCCTTAGACAACTCCAAGGACTTAAACACTACCGTGACTTCAAATTAACAAATCCTAATTATTCTAAATTACCTGCAATTTAAAATAAACTTGCGAGAAAGAAATATACCCAAATTAAATTAAACATGTTTATGGTAAAATTAAAATGCTATCTATTGACGGATTTGGAAATTAAATTGCTGCAGAATTGGAAATTTAACCTTAATTAGCGCTAAAATTAAACGTGAACAGTGAATAAATTGAAGAGCTTGAAGTTGGAAAGAGGCATGAAAGCCACACAAGTAATCGTTGAAGCAATGCTACTTAAAATAAGCACTAAATTAATTACAGACATAAAATGAACAATACCTGAAAGAAACTTGAAATGTTGAAATTCATTGCATGAAATGAAACTGATGTAGCAAATACATAAATTAAATTGTCTACTGAAATGATGAAGAACACCCTAATTCTACTGAAATCTGTGCTAAAAATCTGAAATCTGGAAGCATGTGCAGAGAAAATGAAAGTATGAAAATTTGCAAATGTTTAAGTAGGGCTGACCGTCCGTTCTTCCTTCCAAAATTTCCTTTTTGTTCTCCTTTGGCAGGCAGTAACTTCTCACTTTCTGCAGTTACAATCATGGGTGGTTTCTTGAAGTAGTGAGACAACTCACCCTTTGACTTAGTCTAATCTCCTTGCAGATTTTGCCACATGTATTTTTATCAAATAAAACCCCCTTTTTAACTGCAATCTTCTCCTATTTTTCAGCTCCCATTATTCCTTTCTGTCTCAAGAAAATAATTACTCCATAAAAAATTATCTTTACCTCTCCTTTTTTGTCAACACAAGTGCTGATCTGTCATGGGGTCCAGAATCCAAATCTGACATGGCTCAATCTCCTCCAACCAATAAAAAATATTTTACACGTGACATTAATTTAAATTTGCAATTCATGGTGTAAACAATACTCCCCAACACTTGATTTTATAAAGATAAATTCAAGTGTTTTAATTAAATAAATTATTTCTCACACCATAATTACTTATGCCACATGTCAAATCCCCTTTAAAAGCAACTCGAAAAATTTCTCCTGGGGCAATTTCCAAGATTAACTCCAGCCTCTTCTTTTAAATCCCCTTTTAACTTCTAAAAATCCCAAAAAGTAAGGAAAATTTAAAAATTAAATTTACCTTCCGTTTTTTTTTTTTTTGTTGCTACCTCGGGCCACCTCAAATTGTTGGCTGTTTTTGTTTCTTTTCTCTTTTTTTTTTTTTTGGTTTAAGTACCATTTTGGTTCCTCAACTTTTCACTTTAGTACCAAAATTATCCCTCACCTTTACAAAATACTAAAATTATCCTTAAACTTTCATTTTTAGTACTAAAATGGTCCTTCCGTCAGTTAAATGACAGGTGACACGTTAAAATGCCAGCAAAGCAATTCTTTTTTTTTCTTAATCAATGACATGGGAAAAAAAAGTATAGTTGGCCATTTTTTTATCAGTTGGCAGTTTCATTTAATTTAAAAGTAATAATTCTTTTTTTTTTTTTCACCCACGTCAGATTTCTTCTTCCTCTTCTTCCTTTCTTAAACCCAGATTTGGGTTTTTCTCAAACCCAGGAAAAAAAAATAATGCATTACTTTCGCTCATTCTTCTTTTTATTCTCTCTCTTTCTTCTTCCTTCTTCTTCCTTTCTCAAACCCAAATTTGGGTTTTTCTCTCAAACCTAGATCTGGGTTTTTCTCTCAAACCCAAATCTGGGTTTCATCACATAAATTAATGATCTAATGAAGCTGATGATAATAAAAAAAGCAATACAAATCATTCCATTATATTAAACAAGGCACATCTGCGGACCTATCATCTTCGGACCTATCATCTGCTGCGGACCTATCATCTTCGGACCTATCATTTGCTGCGGACCTATCATTCCATCCCTCTTCTCTATCTCAGACAGCAACCTAGCAAGAGTAAAGCACTTCACTCATACAATAAAGAACAATCGAATGAAATGAGCAGAATATATAATCAGTAGCTGAGAAACAAAATTCCCTAATCCAGGAAAAAAAAATAATGCACGTTTGTGATAGACACTAACTAAAGCTTCAAATGCAAAAAACTAGTAAGATTCAATCAATCAATTGACACTATCAATAAAAACACATATAATAAATGGGAAGAGTAGAAGAAATTATAAGTAGAGAATGAGCAAGAGCTGGAAGACAATACCATATGGAGCAGGAATAAAGCCTTTTTGTTATCAAAATCGCTAGAATCGTTCTCGACGCAAGGATGCTTGGTGTTAGCAAGAGTAGATGCAGCGGTGAGGCGAGCCGTGACCTCTTGAGCACATTGCTTAGCCATCTTAATGCCATCGAGAGGCGGTGGAACGCTATTGTAAGAGCGAGGCACCGAATCTGGAGATGAGAAGCCGGTGGGCCTTCTTCCACCAGACGATGGAAGGGTCTGGTCCTCGTACTTTCGCTTGTTGCTGCCTACCTCTGGACTTGATGACCTATCATCAAGTCATCTTCTCGAGCCTATCATCTTCTCGGGCCAATCTGGGTTTGGGAAAAACCCAGATCTGGGTTTGAGAGAAGAAGAAGAAGGCTGAAAATAATAGTAGCAAAAGGTTTGGCGTGAATGATGACGAGATTGAACAAGGCACTATCACCTAGAGGAACAAAGAAGTGATCGAGCGTCCACTCCACACTCACACCCGGGCTGTGCTCGCCATCATTGACGGCGATGATCATCACTTGCTTCTTCGCCGTCTGGGAAAATTGAAAGCCTGGGTTTGCAGAGGTATCGAGCGTCCACTCCAGCGCGTAGGCGCTGTGCTTGTTGTCATCGACGGCGACGATCATCACTTTCTCGGTCGTTTGAGAAAACCCAGAGCCTGGGTTTGCAAAGGTAAGAGAAAAGGAAAGATAAAGGAGAGAGAAAATGAAAGAGGAAGAAAAAAATCTGACGTTGGTGAAAAAAAAAAAGAATTATTATTTTTAAATTAAATGAAAATGCCAACTCATAAAAAAATGCCAACGATACTTTTTTTTTTTCTATGTCATTAGTTAAGCAAAAAAAGAATGGTTAAATGCTAAATTTGGTCCCTTAACTTTAGTGAGTTGCATATTTTTGGTCCCTTAATAATTTTTTGCATTTTTTTGATCCCTCAACTCTAAGAAATGCACACCGTTAATCCTTATGTTAATTTCAACCGTTAACTCGGCTACGTGTCATTTTTTTATAATTTTTTTGATGACATGGCAAAAAAAGTGTTGATCTGGATTTTTTTTTATGACGTGTCAACGCCACCTCATAAACTAAATTTGCCTTAATAAAAAAATTAAAAAATTATAAATTTACCTTAATACCCCTATCTCCTTTCTTGATACATCTTCTTCCCCTCTTTCGATCCATCTTCTTCCTTTCTTTTTCCTTTTTCTTTCTTTCTTTCTCTTCTTCTCTTCTTCCACCAAACCCAGCAAACTGGGTTCCGTGGAACCCAGATCTGCTGGGTTCGAGGAACCCAGCAATTGGGTTCCACCGAACCCAGCTTGGGTTCGATTCTTCTGCTTCACAGGCTGATGAAAAAACCTTCATTGTCATGGTTCAGTAGGATGCCAAACCCTTGAGATTGAGCTTTTTGATTCAGTAGGATGTCATGAAAAAACCTTCAAGGAATTTGATTTTGGGTCCGATCTTGTGATTGAGCTTTTTGATACCGAGATATGGCTTGAGTGGCAGAGTTTTAATGACCGGGACGGCGGGACCCTTGAGATTGAGCTTTTTGATTCAGTAGGATGTCATGAAAAAACCTTCAAGGAATCTGATTTTGGGTTCGATCTCGTGATTGAGCTTTCTGATACCGAGATATGGCTTGAGTGGCAGAGTTTTAATGACCGGGACCCTTGAGATTGAGCTTTTTGATTCAGTAGGATGTCATGAAAAACCTTCAAGGAATCTGATTTTGGG